TCTACCAATATGTTAATATTTTTTTGGAATTATAATTGCAAATGTTCTAAAAATGTTCATTGTCATATTATATCACACAATAAATACATATCATATTTGTTTGTATGTATATAGTTTGAATTTTTCGTAAATTATTTCGTAAGTTGTGTGATAGGGTTTTCACTTATAGCCGCTTGATGTCGGGTCTGCAATCCACCGCAAGTGGATTGCCTACCTGATTTGCTGTAGCACATAGTCCGCGATCCGACGAAGTCGGATTGCCTACCTAAGTGGCTAACTTGAAAGTTAATAGATTTTGACTTGAGATGACTGACTTGCTAGAAACTCCAACACGGTTTTCGACTTTACATATTTTACATAAGATAAAGCACCGGTCATGCTACGGCACATACCACTCTATGTGCAGGTATACTCTATATAGGTGATCCTGGAGATCGTATCCAGCCTATCCATTTACAACGTTTGTGACGGATTGCTAGACACTCAAACTTTTAACATTCCCGCCAAAGCGTCTAGCCTTATCTCCAATCCATATCACTAATCCTTATCACAAATCCTAAACTTTCGTCTTACAACCTTTGCGACTTTTATAATTCATTGTCTCCAAAATCGGTACCCACTCTCAGCGATTCCAACGGGCCCCGAGTTATACTTAGAGCTAGTATAATATCTAAAATTAGAACAAAAATAGTAATTTTTGTAATATTTTTTTAGTTCAGGTGCACCAAGATGGGCAACTTTAGCTTTTGGTGAAGTAGATGCAAATAAAATAAAGCAAAGAATCCTAAAAAAAAGTATGCCCCACTCGCAGGGAATCGCGACACGTATCTATTTATGCCTTAAAAATGAGATTTATTGATGTTTTGAAATCCTTAAGCAATATTTCCTTAACTAGGCAGAAAAAAAGAAGAAAGAAATATTGCAAATGCTCTAAAAAAAAAATTAGAAAAAATTGAATTTGTTTTGTTGTTATGCTTATGGGAAAAAATATTAAGACCATTATATGGAGTATCACAGTCTGTCAGTCTCTTCTACGTAAAAATACTAATTTACATAATGCATGTCAAAACTTACTAGAGGCTAATTTTACTATTCAAAATTTAAGAAATCAGTATGATGATTTAATATTAACAAGTCATAACATGTGTGATAAATGGGGAATTTCAAAAGATTACCCTGTAGTTCGTTCTAAATTCGCTATTAAACATTTTGGATAAGAAGTTGACGGTGATAGAAGATTGAATGTTACAGAAGATAATTTTAAGTTCGAGTTTTCTTACTAGTGATTGATACAGTTATTTTTCAGCTTTCTAACAGATTTAACGGATTAAAGGAAATAACTGAAAACTTTGAATTTTTTACAGCCAAGTACATTAGTTAATTTATCTGAAGATGATTTAATAAAAGCTTCGTATGATTTTACACAATTATACAAAGATGATATAAGCTCAGATTTAATACGGCAGTTACTGTCAATAAGAGAATTAATAAATATTTTTGAAGTTAAAAGTATCGAACAATTGACATTATATATTTTAAAAAATGACTATAGTACAACATATAGTGATATTTTAAGTGCAACCTTAATTTATCTTACATTACCTGTAACAGTTGCATCAGCGGAAAGATCGTTTTCTAAAGTGAAACTTATTAAAAATTACTTAAGAAATTCAATGAATCAAGATAGACTATCAAACATTGCCATTCTGAACATTGAAAAAAATAAGACTAAACAGTTAAATATAAACAAAATAATAGAACATTTTGCAAACTTAAAAGTTAGAAAAGTTAAGTTTTGTTAACATGTTCATGTATTAATTTTTTTTATGAATTAAAGAACCTACCTACCCATGTTATAATTTGTATAATTTATATGTATATATATATTTTTTATCTATACTATAAAATATAAATATATAAAGAAAATAATATATTGTAATTTGTAGGGCACCAAGTAATTTTTGTTACTAGGGCACCATAAGGTCGAGTTGCGCCACTGTGTAATAGCAAAGGAAAAGCACTATAAATTATAATATAAGGCAGTGGCGCCGAACTCAATTTAAAATGGGGTGGCAAACTAGTAAACATTTACCAAACACCCACCCACCCAGAACCGTTAAATTAAGCGGGCATTATTAGGCCATACCTCAACGTTAACTTCAGACATTAGTCATGTAAAATAATTTAGTTTTTATCAGTTATTCATAAATACTAGTCTACGGTAGTGAACATTAAGCACAAAATACATTTTTTGTGATCAAAAAAAATATAAATACCCATGAAAATGTTTGTATTTGTTCTCAATTACTTTTTCTAAAAAGTGTTACAACAACTCTTGTATGGATGTATATTAGGTTCTCTGTTAACTTTCAATGTAATTTTGGCTGGACTAGTTTTGTTACCACCTGTATTTTATTTTAATTTAAATTATTTTTTTTTTTTGTGTCTGTCATCACGTTTTAGGACACTAAAAGTGCTTGGATTTTCTTCAACAGTAGCTTTTCTGATAGGAAAGTGAATCTAATTGGTACTTCAGGGGGTCAAAAGTGAAAATTGCACAGTAGTTTTCAAAAGCGGCGTGAAAAACAAAATTAAAATTAAAGGAAAAACGGGAATTTTTACACTAAAATCGAAAAAATAGATTTTGGTTTTTGGTGCAACTTTTAAACAAACGACCGTAGGTACATGAAATTTTGACTGAATGTTTATATTAGCATTTTATATACACCATAAAATTTTCAAAATGTTTTGATTTATTTTGAACTGTTTAGGCACATTTTAATTTTCCATTTTTTTTAGTTTTTTTTCTAAAATTATCAATAAAATTTTATTTGTTGGTTAAAAAAGCTTGAAAATTTAATACAAGCAGGTTCCTACTATATTGTTACAATGGCATTTGAAAAATATTAAAAATTCTTAGTCACAGTTTTTTTTTATAAGCATTTTAAGTTCAAAAATTGACAAAATATGGAAAAATCACGAAAATTAGCAAATTATTTTGAGTTAAGAATTCGTAAAAATTTTTCTTTTTAAATCTAAGGTTTTAAAATGTAATACAAGATTCCTAATAAGATTATATACCTTTATCAAAAAAAAAAATGTCTTTAAGAAAGTCAAATTAAATTTTTATGAGCGTTTGAAATTCAAATTTTTACAATTTTGGATATTCAATCGATTTATTCGATTTATTCAATCGAAAATATTTTGACTCTTTTTGAGCTGTTTACGGACATTTTCAGTTTCCCATTTTTTTAGTTTTTTATTCTATAAATATCAATAAAGTTTTATCTGTTGGGCTAAAAAGCGTAAAAATGTAATACAAGGCTCCTGATATATTGTTACAATATCAGTTGAACAATATTAAAAATACATAGGCACAATTGTTTTTTATAAGCATTTAAAGATCGAATTTTGACAAAATGTATGAAATTTAAAATTGAATAATTATTTTGTAGTTAAAAATGTATAAAATGTTCAACTTTTATATCTAAGGATTGAAAATTTAAAGCAAGATTACACGTAAGTAGTAAATTCTGTTACCAAAAATCTAAAAAATACATAAGCACAGTTTATTTTTATAGTCATTTTAAGTTCAACTTTCGACAAAATTACATAAAAAAAACCTAGAATAACTATTTTAGTTATCTATTTTGTTGTGATTGTGTAATATTATTCTTGGGTACTTGAAACTTTTATAGTACACTATTATATATCTATGATAATATAACGATTTGTTGTTAATGTATAACGGGTTATAAGTATCTAATGAGTAATGGCTATTATGATATTATTAATTTGGAATTTATTATAGGTGCAATTTATATACCGTCTCCGCTCAGAATTGTTTTTCTTATACAATGATATTATATCATTGAATTCAAATTTAATACTATCCATTATACAGTGACCCACTTGTAATCTACTGTACAGCAGAGCACTTTTTTATAATTTTATATCAATATAATAATTATATCATTACTGGCTTTTACAGGAAAAAAGTTGGCTAAAAATAGCCACTTCACAGTACGAAAAACCACTAACTGATAATGTAAAAATAATAGATAACACAATTTAAACTGTTCACTATACGTCTATAATGAATACATCTATATACTACCTACTTCATTAATACACAGGAATACAGCGACACGGCGTATAGACGTTACAGTCGTTGCACTTTTGATTCCAAGTACTAATTTACTATCGAACACTCAGTATCTACCCGTCAAATTTCTTCTGTTTGATATTTGCCCACCTGCATAACAGGACCCACCGCCCACCCATTTAAAAGGGGTGGCAGTCGCCACCCTTACTATATAGGTTCGGCGCCACTGATATAAGGATATATTATGCAACAATCAGATTATTCTTCGAAAACAATTTCATGAAATAAAAATTCTTACGCATGACGTCTATACCAAAAGCGACACACAAAAACATGTAATTGCAGAGGAAAAGCACTATAATATTATAAGGATATATGCAACAAACGGATTATTCTACGAAAACAATTTCATGAAATAAAAATTCTTATGCGTCATGCAAGGAGATTATAATATGTACATATATAAGATGCAACCAAAAGTTTATGTTTTGTAAAGACCGTGGTATAGATTTCACTGATTTCAGTGTCTGTTTAATATAATATATTATAAAAAATGGTAGGTATTTCGTCAGGAACGTTTTTCCCCGACTAGCCCCGCATCGTGCCATAAAAAACTTCGTTTCAAAAACACAAATTGGTTAAATGGGTACTAATATATTAATTATTACCATTGATTAATTATTACAGACTACAGAAATTACGCATTACTCAAATATTCCATTGCTGTCATTACTAATTAACCAAATAACGATAATAATATTATTATGACTTACGAACTGCGAGTGTCAAGTATTTATGACTTATCAGTTATCACTACTATAGTAATCCGTAATGGATCACGACGTTAGTACATTAGCGAATTGGATAAATAAATGACTTATCAGTAATAAGGTCTATGGCCAAGGTCAACCCCCCTACCACCGTCAGTCAACGCCCAACGGGTATTTCGTTGTCCGAAGTCGAACTACGATTTCCTTCATTCGTCTGCCATCTTAGTGTCTTTTTGTCGATCGTTCCTCGAGCTGTCCGAAATCAAACTGGTGAGTATGTTTTTTCAACTCAAACTGTAATTCATTATATTGTATTATATTTTCCTGTAGATTCAAAATTGGTTAATATTGAGATATTTTTTTATTGGTAACTATTTAATTTAAACAGAGCTTGAACTAAATTTTTAACAAAACCGTCAAGTGGTTTCAGTCCCTCGAAATCATAAGACAAAAATTGTATTCTCGCAATCATAGTTACTTTATAGGTATTTTTTATAGTATAAACTAAGATAAAAACGTGATTGACAAATTTTAAATCCACAGACTTGTTTTCCATACAAACCTAACCTAACCTACAATTCAATATTTTAACGTAACGCGTATTTTGTAAATGTTAATAATTTCAAGTTTTAATATTACGTAAACATACACATTTAATACAAAATATTTAAAAAGTTTTTATCATACACGTAGTTTAATCTATAGCTAATAATATCCTAAGCAGGTCTACGATAGTTTTTGTATTATTTTCAATTACGTAAAAACTAACATGGAACCTTACCTAACGCGTTAGTCAACACTTGGATTTATATACTAATTTAGGTAAGGCTCTACCATAGAACGAGAACAATGGGTATGCTATGCCACCATTTTGCGACTCTTTTATCAATGATAAAATGATAAAATAAAGGGGTAGAAATTCATATTCACATAAGATTATTAGTCGCAATTCGCAAAATGGCGGCGTAGCATACCTGTATCTAATTCGGTTCACATTGAGTTCCGATACGGCGATACGCACCGATCGACAATTTATATTTCGTTTCCTTTGTATGTGATCGTTTATACTCCATGAACGAAAACAATACTACTACTACTATTAAATAAAATCAACAACAACAATGACCTTTCATAATATCTTCCAGACTGCCCCTGTAACTGAATCCTGAAGTCATTATCCAACGACAAGCCAACTGCTCAAAGAGCCTAACCATATTTTACTGTCGACCGCTGTCACTAATTGCCTAGTTTGTCGTCCGTTGTTCTGCTCCTTAACCTTTTGATAGTTAGTAATAACACGTTATAATATATAGGGATCTTTATTTATAATCTGTGGTAATAACTTTTAAAAACCCAAACCAATTTTTTCTTATACCATAATAAAATCACGAAAAAAAAAATGGAAATTAATGCAGTTTAGCTCTGAAGTGATTTTTTTCATTATGTGTGCTTTGCATGCTAAATATAAAGGTATTTTCAAAAAAAAAAGTTGTACAATTTTCTTTGAAATTTGACAGTTGTGGTCTCAAAACTTAAAAATCGTTTTTTATGTTTAAAATATCAAAATATAACTATTGTTTTTTGTTATTGGGAGTTTGTTCTTTCTCAATATTTTGCTAGAATCTTATTTATTGAGCGTATGGTTTATGGTTACATGCATTAGACTAATTATAATATGGTAACATACAATACATTTAATTAATGTATAACAAATGAATAAAATAAATAAAACGAAAATAGGGTAGTATAGTAGTATGGGTAACAGTGAATAATATTAATAAGGAAACAAAACAATATCTTTGGTATTAGAGTATAAGTTCTTGTTCCTCCAGCCATTGAATAAATGTGGGGGGGGGTTGTTTTGTAATTTTATGTGAATAAGAGAAAATTCAGCTATGTACCTACTCAATTTTTAACTTATTGTTAATAAAGTAAATTAAAAAAAAAAAATGAAGGACAGGTTATACCTACGCTAAATCGCAAACTTTCAAAAAAACACTTGGTGCCTGGAGTTAAGCTGACTTGATGCCAAAAAATGTTTAGCTTTAAAAATGATTAGTGTCATAAAAAAAAAAATACAAATTTTTCTAAAAATAAAAATTACAGCAAATTCCCAGTTGTTGATCACGGTACTCAAAATTTCAACAATGAAAATAATCAATTTTTGCCAAATTTGCCGCTCCATTGCTCCAATCTTCTGCTTGTACTGAAATCTGAATAGTGGCTATAGTGACAATAGCATTACAATTACATAATTTTTTTTTTGTTTTTTTTTCAGTCATTATGGTTGCCCAGAAAATTTGGGCTTTGATGTTGGCCGGGCTGTTAGTCGCATCTTCCGCCAATGCTGGACCTATCGCAGCTGGAATTTGCTACGCTGGATGTGCTGCCGTGACGGTTGCATGCTTCGGTGCCGCCGGGTTTACGTTTGGCACCGTCCCTGGAGCGGTGATTGCTGCTACACCCGCGTTAGCAGCATGCAATGCAGCATTTGGGATTTGTGAAGCAAGCTGTGTCGCAGCATTAATTGTACCTACACCGTAAGGCTTAAAGCCTAAAAAATATTTTCTTTTCAACAGCTCATATACTTAGTGAACTTTTTTTTAAATATTTTATTTTCATACGCATAAGTTTTGCGTTACAGTTTTGCCGGTATGGTAAATCATCAAAGAACTATATTAAACTATATTCAATTATTTTTTCATAATAACTAGTAATAAATTGGCATAAATAAACTGCTTTGATTATATTCATTATTTTTTATGGTTTTTTTTTCTAGCCATTACCTACAATATCCGATACACTATAATTTATAGTGCAATAGTTTAAGATAGTTATTTTTCTTTTACATTTACATGAAACTGCTTAATCTAATAAAGCATGATACATTTTTTTAAAATGTAAGTTTATAATGAATTATTAATGATTGGTAGTACAGGTTATTTATCATATAGCCATTGTTTTTTGAGTTAATACAACTGACAAGAGAAGTACATTAAATAGGTAGGTACTCTAATACTCTAATATTTTTATTTTTATTTTATTTTTATTATTAAGTTTAACGGGACAAGCCCTTTTACATAGGATATAATACATAATAAACAAGAACAACCGTACATATACAAAATAATTAATACAGTTTGAAAGGTGAATTATAACAAAAATTTACAAATATATAAAAAATTAAATTTCAATTAGATAGTAGGTCTACAGCTTTTGCTTTGAAAGATTCACGAGACATAAAAAAGAAATCGACTTCATTACAAATTAAATTACATAGTGTTAGAGCTCTAGGAAAAAATGAATCTGAACATATTTTTTTTTTATAAAAAGGTACGTGAAATAAACAAGGGTTTCTAGTCGAATAACTATGAGTACAAAAACTAATTTTCCTTAATAAATCAGGACAATCAATATAATTATTAACAAGATCATAAATAAACATGACGTCAGATAACTTACGCCTAACCTCACAAGGCTGAATATAAATAGAATTAGCTACTAATGAAAATGAATCTCTAGAAATGGGTAAGTTTAAACGAAACGCTATAGACTTAAGGAATTTATACTGAACATTCTCAACCAATTTATCAGTAGAATTTTGAGCCCAGATTATTGACCCGAATTCAGTATGAGACCTAACAAGAGAACAATAGAGCATTTTTAATGTAAATACATTTTTAAATTCTTTAGTATTTCGTAAAATAAAACCCAGCATTTTAAAACATTTATTTATAACCATATTTGTATTAATAGAGAAAGATAAATTATTATTAAAGAGAACACCCAAATCTTTGACCATTTCAACTCTGTTAATATTAATATTATTAATTTGATAGTTAAAAATTATAGGATCTATTTTTTTAGTGAAAGAGATAGAATTGCATTTATCAATATTAATTGGTAATTTATTTTGTTCACACCAAATACTAAACTTATTTAAATTAGCTTGAAGATTAAGTGCATCATCTTGGTTTTTAATAGTAGAATACAATTTTGTGTCATCGGCAAACATTAACACATTGACTGAAGAATCGAGAACAGATGGTAAATCGTTTATAACAGATTAAACAGTAATGGCCCTAGTTGTGAGCCCTGGGGTACTCCAGAACTTACAAAAATAACCTTAGATAATGAATCAAACAACTTAACTAACTGACATCTATCCGTTAGGTAGGATGTCAACCAATTAAGAAAATTACCATGAAGACCAAATCTTTGTAGCTTAATTATTAGTAAATAATGGTTTACTTTATCGAAGGCTTTACTGAAATCTGTGTAAACTGAATCAATTTGTACGCCATTTTCAACGGAGTTAATTAAATCGGTATGGTAAGTCAACAAATTCGTAGACACAGATTTTTATGCCAAATATTGATGCCAAATGTTATATTTTTTTAATTTTTACTGAGATAAACTTTGATGATAAACTTGATAAACTTAAACGGTGAATAACTTTGAACTCCCACTTTGATAATAAACATTTAAAGGACCAAGGTGCTGCTTTTATTTGCGGACTAGAAATGTATGTGGTGTACAATCATATACATAGACAGCATATTAGACCAGAAAAAAAATTAAATATACCTATGTATACTATAGTATATATAAGTAAGATTGGTGATTGTATATGGTATTTTCCTTCTATAAAGTTACTTAGAGTAGGTATAGAGATAAAATTGTTAATTTTTATATATTTTTAATATTATAGTATGGGTAAAATAAAATGTATTTATTGACTTGATAATATATTTTTAGATATACTATGGAAAAAACTACATTAATTAATTTTTTGATTTTCTAATATACTACGCGTAGACCAAATACTAAAGCAAAAACATAACGTTATTCCTCATACATGAGCTGCACGCCAGCACCAATTTAAATATGATTACCGCAGTATTCTACCCAACTGTACAATGGCCAGGTTAATAACTATGATTTTTTCACTTGCTTGTTTTTGTTTGCTTAAACTTAAATAAAACAATTAGGTAATCGGATTTTTAATCATTTACGAAATACTTTATTCTTCAATGAAATTCCTATATGTTTCTATTTAATTTATATGCTAAACTTGGTTGTTTCTAACTAAAACGAGAAGGTTCACTATTTTTTTTTATATTGTATAAACCATACTGTTACAATATAACAGTCAATCCAATGTAATTTTTACTTAAAACAATTTAATTTCCTAAAATAAATTGTATATAATTTCTACTTAAAATATTTTGTTGTATTATCAACCAATAACCACTATTCTAAAATCTATTATTAATTGAATAAAAACCAATTTTGTAAAATAAATAAATATTTAGTATTTTATCATTTTTCATCGGAAATAATAGATTTATAAAAAATTGTGTAAATATACTTTTTATTACAAATATATAAATCTATAATTTACTTTTCATATATTTTTGGGTAAATTCAATATTTTTCAAATTAAACTAAAAAAATGTACTTACAAACCATATTTTAAAAACGTTTAACCCCATTGTGGCACGTGAAGGAATTAAGTAATCATGATCAAATTTAACGTAAATTACCAACTTCTAGTGATGAACAAAATGGGAAGGTAAGAAATCAAAAATTATGTTCAAAAATAAGGATCACCCTAACCTACACATTATACAATATGATTATTATTATAATTTCGTGTTATTATAATGTAAAGGGTCAGCCAAAAAAGCAGTGACATTCGGTGGGCATTTGCTGAATATACACACTGAACACTACATACATTGTGTTATAGTAACATTATTAGTGTAAGTAATACACTAATACCTACCATTGATTATAAAATATACAAGTGTTTATAATCAATGGAAATGCTGAATTATACCTAATATATGGACCTCACGAGTTGTGAGAGTCATCGTCTCTGGCCATTAAAAAAACCATGATATATTTTTGCGAGGCTGATTCTGCAGTATTATTTATGATTTAAAAATAATATATTGTATACTCTATGTACAGGAATAGTTATAAAATACGTTGTACAACTTGTACACTCATTTCATTTTGACTTTCTGTACCTATATAATATAGTTTTTCACAAAAATTAAATTATAGTAGGTATCATACTGACGCATAAAATATGTATGTAACATGATATACGTGATATTGTTTTAAAACAAGTTGTAGTATAATAAATTTTATACTGCGAGTAAGTTCATGAATATTATATAAATAATTATGTACGATCCAATAATGTAGTTTTGTCGTAACAGAACAATATATATATATAAATTATAAAGTACTAGTTACTATTTAGGTTACATACTATTCGTGTATATTTATATGTATATAGTAAGAATATATAAGAATAACAATATAGGAGATTCGTGAAGTTTTTATTATGTTTTTTTTCTCTAGATTTGACGAAGTCGATTGTATAGTTGAGTTAAATTGAAAAATTCGATTACCTATAGGTACCTATTTCAAAACACGCGAAAGTGGTTTACTGAGAAATATAGAATAAATATGATATTACATAGCAATGGAATTAATTAAGTAAATATAAATTAGTAACAAATGTGCAGTACAAAATAAAAGTACCGAAGTAAGTATAGTAAATAAATTACCGAGCGAGGTGGTGAAGTTTGGGAAGTAGTAATAACTCAACCTTTAAAGGTATTTTGCTCTAAATTTATTATGTTTACACCGGTTGACAAACTACCTTTTATATACAATAAGCGTTTTTATTTTCAAAAAATGTATTGCAGTACAACAATTAAATTGAATTATTATTTTCTAGGCAGATATAGTGACAGATACCTACTACTACAATAATTATAACAAAGATAAGAAAAATATAATAATAATAATAGCACTATAGCAGGTAATTATATATATAATATGTTTCTATTAGAGATTATAAATACAGTAAATGTATTGTACCTATTATGGTTCTAATGATAATTTCTATTATTTCAATAATATAGCTTATCAGTGAGAATAGTGATGGTTTTGAAATGCTCAAAGAATGATGATCATGTTTGGACTGTAGTCTGACGGGGGGGGGGTGACCTGTTGTGGAGTTCTTATATGTATAGTGTTGGGCGGGAGATTTGCACCACTAAACTTTGATTTAGTTGGTTCAATTGAAAATTGAAATGGTAGAAAGTGAAGGCACTCCTCTGGTGGCGTGTGAGCCTCATAAATTAAACTCTAATGACATTTGCAATGGGTTTTATATTTTAGAAGAGACTTATAAACGGCGCAACCTTTAAAGTTGGCCGCGTGACAGCAGAGCGCGAATTTATCGGAACTACTTTTGTATTTTGCATAACTCATTCGATGGATAACTTTCGTTGCATACTTGGAGTCGCTGCGATCAATGAAACAACAGAAGATTATGGACGTGCCCGCGCGTAAGCTTGACGATTGTGACATCGAGGCATACAGTGGGTGGTTTTAACGGTCTTTCGGCTCTAGTGTTCGATCAAGCGGCGTTTTTGAAAATGTCGGGCTTGTTGATGAAAGGCCTGCAGCCTTACCCGTAAGTCCACATAAAAAAGTGAGAAGCAGTCTTTTCAATATTC